AATTGACGCGCGATTAACGCGATAAATTTAACAGCGCCGCGAATTGTCACATATGCGAGAAACCGTTTGCGCCTGACGACACGCGGGTACGCGATCACTGTCATCTAACTGGTCGATTCAGAGGTCCCGCGCATTCTAACTGTAATTTAAACTACAAAGATTCGCATTGCATTCCCGTAGTTTTCCACAAATTATCGGGCTATGACGCGCATTTTATTATCAAAGAAACAGCTACCGCATACGATGGTAACGTAGATTTACTTCCGATAACAAAAGAGAAATACATTTCAATCACTAAGCATGTTAAAAGTACTATAGAAAGAAAAAATAATCGTGAAATTTGCGTACAATTACGATTCATTGATTTATACAAATTTCTCAGTTCGAGTCTCGAAAAATTGGCATCTTATCTCGCGAAAGATAAACTACAAATAATGCAACGTGGATTTTGTAATTTATCGGCTGAACATTTCGATCTACTGACGCGAAAAGGTGTGTTTCCGTACGAGTACATTGACTGCTTTGAAAAGTTGGAGGATACACATTTACCCCCGCGCGAATCGTTTTATAGTTCGTTAACGGGCGGTGCTGTATCCGAGAACGATTACGCGCATGCTGTCAACGTGTGGGAGCGATTTTCCATCCGATCGCTCGGCGAGTACAGCGATTTGTACTTAAAAACTGATGTCTTGTTGCTAGCTGATATATTTGAAAATTTTCGCGATAGCTGTGTCGCGAGTTATGGACTCGATCCCGCGCATTATTATACTCTACCCGGTTTTACGTGGGACGCCATGCTGAAATATACTCGTATTAAATTCGAACTTCTCACGGACATTGACATGGTCATGTTTGTCGAACGCGGTATACGCGGCAGCCTGAGTCAATGTTCCAACAGATACGCGCGGGCTAACAACAAGCACATGCAGTCGTATGATCCATCGAAACCGTCGTCGTACTTAATGTACTTCGACGTAAATAATCTGTACGGCTGGGCAATGTGTCAACCATTGCCGTATGCAGATTTTCAATGAGTCAACGACACAGCAAATTTTAATGTTATGAATATCGCGTTAGATTCTGCGATAGGCTACATTCTCGAAGTCGATCTAGACTATCCACCTTCACGACGCGCACGCTGACTTACCGTTCTGTCCGACGCGCGAAACCACACGGCAAGCGGCAAGAAAAACTCCTCGCGTCTTTATATAATAAAAAGCGATACGTTATTCATTATCGCAATTTGCAGCAATGTACTCGTCACGGTCTCCGTATTATAAAGATTCATCGCGTATTGCAATTCGCGCAATCTCCATGGCTTCATGAATATATTGAACTAAATACAAAATTTAGAACACTTGCTAATAACGAATTCGAGAAAAATTTATACAAATTAATGAATAACGCGGTATTTGGTAAAACCATGGAGAATGTGCGCAATCATGTTGATGTGCGATTATTAACAAAATGGGAAGGATACGACGCGGAGGCAATGATCGCGAAGCCGAATTTTCATAGCCGAAGCGTTTTTTCAGAGAATCTTGTTGCGATAGAAATGCGTAAACTCGAAGTAATGGTCAATAAACCTATTTACGTGGGTATGTCTATCCTCGACGTATCCAAGACATGTTTGTATGAATTTCACCACGAGTATATGTTACCTTCGTTTCATGAAAAATGTAAAGTCATGTATACAGATACGGACAGACTCATATACCATTTCGAATGCGACGATATATACGAAATTATGAAGCGTGACATCAATAGATTTGATACTAGCGATTATGCGGTCGATAATGTGTATGGCATTCCGCTCGCCAATAAAAAGGTTCCAGAATTAATAAAAACAATGGCGCGATCATGACCGAATTCGTCGGACTTAGAGCAAAAATGTATGCTTTGCGTGTAGATGGTAAAAAAGATACAAAAAAGATTGAAGGTGTTAAGAGCAACGTCGTAGCAAAGATGATAACGTTCGATGATTACATGCAATGTCTGCTGGACGAAACCGAAATGACGCGAAAACAGTCTTGCATAAGATCCAAGCTGCACGAGGTGTATACTATATCCGAAAAGAAAATTGCTCTAAGTCCGTACGATGATAAGCGATACATTATACCCGATTCTGTATATCATTCTACACTGCCATGGGGACATTATAAGATACCTTTATAAATAAATAAATAAAAAAATAAAAAATAAAAACAACTTATTTTCATAATACATGTATATTTTGTGTCTTTTGTAATCAAATAATTTTTATTGTAATAAAAAAATGTTTTTTATATAGTAATAAACAGGAATGTAAATTATTTTACAAAACATTATCTTTAGATCGGAAGAGCACACG